TCCTCGGAGGCTTGCAGGCCCTCCGCTTGCCACCGGTACCGGCGGGCCCGCAGGATACTGGGCACCTCGCGCTGCAGGCGCTGTGAGCTCTTCTTCTGCCACACATCGTATTTGGAGTACTTGGCGTGCGACGGCTTTTGGAAGCTGTCCTGCAAGGGGAAGGGGAGAAGCAGCATGAGGGGGGGAATGGGTTCCCACCTGGCCCCTGAGGGACAACTCATTTCTCCTTTTTCTTCCCTAGCCTCGACCATTTCTAGTCTAGGCTGGAGGGGACCACCCCATGTGCGCTCTGTGCCAGGTGATCAGGCATGGTTGTTCCTTTTAGGGCTGAGGTCGGATGGGACCTCTGGAGATCATCTAGTCCAACCCTCCTGCTCAAGTGGCTTCCCAGCATCTCTGTCCCTCTGAGGTCTCCTCAGCCCAGCTTTGCTGTGGAAAAGCAGGTCTCAAAGACATGCGTCCTCCTCTCTCTCCACAGCCCGTTTATCTCCTCCTTCTTCCTCTTCTGGAGCAGCTCCACCCCCACTTACCTTGTTGATCGCCGGCAGCCCCACCAGGGAAGTGGCCGAGAGGTCTCGTTCCGACTTGACGGACTTGGCGCAGTAGGTCTCCAGGAGAGCCAGGTCGCAGCTCCGGAAGCAGCACTCCTCCACGATGCCCCGGTTGATCCTCCGGTTATTTCGCCCCACTGGCCGACCTGCAAAGGCAGAGGCATGGCCGTTAAGCCCCACGTCCAAAGGGACACCCAGCCTCCCCGAAGCACTGGCAGAAGACGCCTCCACAGGCAGTCTCAGCTAGCTGGGACACGGGAAGTGAGCAAGCCACGGTCGATTGGGCATGTGAACGCTACAGCAGTTACTGCAACAAGGTGGATCCCAACACCTGCCTAGCTTAGCAAGAAGCTATACAGTGTTGTGGTTGTCAAGCTTCTCTCACCTTGGCGCTTGGGCAGGTGAGACGGAGCAACGCACTAGGTTTTCACAGATGGGACGACTCCAAAGCTGCTGTGGAAAGAGCGGATCGCTCAGCAGCATGCTCCCACCCCTCCCAGACCAGGTCCTCATTCTCTCATGAAGACTCCCCTCTGGCAGACGAGAGAAGCCACTAGCGCAGCAGCACTCAGGTGACACTATTGCTCCAAGCGCTCTGAGGAAAGGCTCCCATTATGGTTATTTTCCTCCCTCTTGGAATAAAGGGGTCCTCAGGCTTGGAAGGGGAAAGGGAGCAGACAGTGGCCATGCCACCGCTGCCCCAGACTGTGCTGCCTGTGCTGCCACGGTCAGATGACACAGCCCGCCCGGGCAGACTCCTCAGCTCTTGCCCACATGTGGCCTCTGGCTTCGACAGCACCAGCAAACGGGGCTGCAATGGCTGGTGGGTGGCCGTGCGCCTCGCGCAACCATGAGGAAATAGCTCCCACTTAACTAATTACCGCGCTCCCGTCGGGAAACCCGCTTCCTGCCCCGCTTCACCACCTCTCGCTTTCCTCCCTCTCGGCAGAGCTCCGCTGCTCCATCCGGCACCTCCTGCGGCCGCCCCAGTGGGGATTTGTCAATGGGGAGGTTGCACTGGAGGGTCTGGAGCAGCATCGCAAGGCAAAGCAAGCGCCAAGCTGAGCGCAAGGGGCCCTTGGGCGTAAACAGCCCGCTCGGCTGCCGGGCCTGGCGGGGACCAACAAGGGCCCCTTTGTGCACGGCCCGCAGCGCCGCCGCTGTCCCCGTGCACCCGGGCCGGCCCTGCGCGTCCAGCTCTGCGCCGGCCCCCGGCTTTTTCCTAGTATTATTCGGAGGGCTGGCGGGTGCGCAGGAATGTGCCCCGTCAGCACAAGTGGCCGGCACAGAGCTGAATTCTTATCAGCTGTTGGGAAGGAGGAAACGGGAGCCCTTGTTTGTGGAGGAGAGGGAGGACACTGCTCCTCCTTCTCTTCCATGGTCCCCAGGCCCTTCCTCGCCCCCCAGCTCCTCCAGCCCAGAGCATCTTCACAATGACACAGGGCAGGGCCCACAGCTCTGTTTACAGCCGACGTCAGCTGCACATCTCCCTCCTGCTGCCCCGGTGTCCCTGGAGCCGAGCGCACCTGGGTCCGCATCCAAGCAGGGCACGGGAAGCAGCGGGAAATGCCATACGCGACCTGCTGCCACTCATCTTCCCTCTCACAAGCACCTCATAACTCGCCTTGGGAAACGGCGGCATCATGGATGGAAAAGGGGATGCACGTTGAATATAAGCTGAGGATGCTGGACAGCTACAGGAGTGTATGCAAAGCACAGCTGCTCCAGAGACACCTGCCATTCTGCTTTGTGCTCGGGGGAGCAGACGCCCAGACGGATGTCCCCACTGTCACTTGCTCACCCTCCTCAGCCTGCACTGCCTCTTTGCCCCTTGCCAAATGCCAGGGGTGAAACAGCACCCACGGGAGCTGCTGGTACCCTGCACCCACTTGGTGTTGATGCAAGCAGCTGCAGCTAAGCCCAGAGGATAGCCCAGAGACGGGCTTCCAGGAACACCCCAGGGGGACATCACCTTCAGCAAGTTCTCCTTTTAGAAGGACGTAGCCCGGGAGCTCGGTGTTTAAATCACCTGGGTATCAGACAGCCGCCAGCGAGCTCTCTCACGGCATGCATTTTTCCCGAGATCACCCTTGCAACAAGCCCTCTGCAGCTGTCGGCGCTCCCCTGCGCCCGTGGAACGAGGCTGTGGCAGCATTTGGCTTCCCCAGTGAATCGGTCTCTTAAAGGCCGGTTGCTCATCAGGCAGCAGCTCTCATGCAGCCATTGGGTTGAACAGGACAAAGGTGGGCTCAGTTTTAAGACACAGACCCACAAGAAGGCAAGCCTCTAGCTTCCCAGCAGGGCACAGGTGGGCACAGGCAAGCGTCTCAGTGTTGAAACATGTCCCCATGATCCAGCAGACAACAATATACTTGTCCTGTAGATCTTACCATGAGACTGCAGGGGCAGGATGCTGAGATCCAGGGTGCTGGTGGCTAAAAGGTTTTAAAAACTAAGGCTAAGACCAACTTGGACCAACCAACAAAGGGAAAAAAAAGGTAAAAATTATGACTAAGACCAACTTGGACCAACCCATAAAGGGATAAAAAAAGAAAAGAGTGCGGGATGTCTGCACCCTTCACCTAGCAGAGCTTGCACCCAAACATTTCCTCAGCCTTGTGCAGCTGGATACCCTTAAAACAGGGTTTTGGCTTAAAAGAGGTCTTTGGGATGGCTTTCCTTCAGCCTGAGGGCACCTGCACTCCAGAGAGATGGAAAAAGGGGAGGGGGACCAGACAGAAGGGGGAAAAAAAAAAAAAGACAAATCCCCTTGCAAACACCAGCTCGGCTGCTTGGCACAAAGCTCCTGGTCGGCCAGCAGAAGTGTTTTTATTCTGGCCTGGAAAGCAGGGTTATTTGAGGTGAAAAGAGGTCAGTCTGTCCATAAGACAAAAACCCCGCTCCCTTGCATCCCCCCGCCGAGACCAGACGGGGAGGAGGGGAGGGAAGCAAAAGGCAGAGGGCAGTCGCTCCTCTATATATAGGTGAGAGGAAGAGGTGCGAAAGCCAGGCAGGAGGAAGAGTGCTGTGGTGCAAGCCCTTGGCACTCACGCAAACCCTCGCAGCGCGGTTCCCTCAGGGGAGTTAGAAGCTCCCAGCGCCTTCCCAAAACAGCAGCCTGCTTTCAACGAGTGCTGGGTTCGGGAAGCAGCCCCGCGGCAGCACTGCCATGCTCCCGGCACACCAGACTGTGCATGGCGCCAGCTGCTGACAGAGTATCCCCATCCAAAATTGGTACCCAGGGTCTTCCCCAGCTGGGTAGCAAACCCTTCCCTCTGTGGGCAGGTAGGAGGGAGAACGGCTCCAGAGAGCAGCATTCCTGAAAAAGCAGCTTGCCTCATTCCTCGAAAGCAGCTTTCTGAGCGGCTTAATCTTCACAAGGTCGCCAAACGCACAGCAGCTCGCGCCTGCACCCTCCCACCTGGCCTCCTGCCCGTGGCCACCTGCACTCACTCGCCAGCAGGGCGCTGCAGAAGGGCAGGCACAGCCCTCAGAGACAAAACACCGGCGCAGGGCAAGGCAGCCCCGGCCCCAAGCCCGTCGAGCTGCCCCTGCCCCTTGCAATGCGGCCACAAAACCCAAAATGCCCCCACGGTAGGCAGTGTCTCATCCACTGCCCTGAGGACGCCATGCTCACCAGGCAATGGCCACTTCATTTTTCCAAGCAGAATTTATGCCGTGGAAGACATTTCCAAGGTATTTCCAACGGCATTGCTGCTCCACAGCTGCTGGCAACAGGTTTGCACCCAGGTAGCAGGTGGAGGATTTGGAGAGGCACTGAGGAGCTGCAGACACGACCAAACCTGCCCAGAGCGGGGCAGCAGAGCTCCCTGTCCAGGTGCTCCCGAAGCTGCTCCAAGGGGCGCTTCCCAGGAGCAGCAGCTGGGATGAGCAGGGAGATGTGGATACAACACCGATGTGGTGCCAGCTGGGAGCTTTTCAGACAAGCTGTGCCAGAGGCTCAGCACTGAGAGGGCTAGATAAATCACTGCGGAGTACCCGCCTGCACCATGGGTCAGCCCAAAACACAGCATCGCTTCCCCCAGAACACAGCGGCGCTTCCCAACAACACTTGACTTTTCTGAGCACAGGGGCTGACCTCCCCACCGCACTCCCTCGAACACCCCCAACCAGTGCCGAGCAGCTCTATGTCACCCCACACCTCCAGCTTCTCTCTTCAGCGGCACCTGCACGCAGACACAGATGCAGACGGCGGCAAGGGAGGAGATACAGTCCCTGCTGTGCCAAAGCGACCGCGCTGAGAACAGGATGCTCAGTGCACCCATGTGGGCCCCGGTGCCGGACTACTCACTGAAGTAGAAGCCCCGGTCCCCGCAGACGAACTGCAGCGTGTCAACAAGCTCGCCGCCACAGAGGGTCTCAGCTGTGCCATAGGCGGCGGCAGCCTCCAGTGCAGAGGCCAGGAAGGCCAGCAGCAGCAGCAGCAGCCTCCTCGCGGCGCACATCCTCGGCACCTGTGGGGTAAAGCCAGAGGGTCAGACATGGGGACGGGCCCCCACCTCGCCCCTCCTCTCCCCTCGCATCTCCTCACCCTGCACTTTCCCCCCATGGATGGCTTCAGATGCTGCGGACGAGGGTTTGGCAGGCAAGGCTCAGCCTACAAGCCAGCCTTGGGCCAGACACGGTTGACACCAAGGCTATTTTCCATTGGGAAATCCCACGTTAGCCCTGCTGTGAAAGATTTCTTTCCCCCGGTTCTTTAAGCACCATCTTTTCTTTCCCTTTTAATGGGAAATCATTTAAATGATGATCGGGATGTGTGTTTTGGTCTTTTGCTTTGTTTTGCTTTCTAAGTGGGTCCGATGAAAAGCTCTGAAGCGTGTTTCCCCAGTGCAGGGAGATGCGACCTCATGGCCCACACAGGCACTGCTGCTTTTGAGGAACACTCGGCTCAGCCCAGCCGTGGTGGCCACTGCAGGAGACCTGCCCAGCCCAAGTACCACCATCTAGGGCCCAGCCTTCCCAAGAGGGCCAAGACATCGCTCAGGAAACCCACCCCGAGGAAGGACATGGGTATACTGGCCAATGCAGAGGATTAAACTGGAATCAAGGTGTGATGGGCACACAGGCAGAGGTAAACCTGCTGACAGTTCAAGGCCCTACAACACCTCCCTGATGAGCACCACATCTCCCTGCCCCAGGCCAAGGTAAAGCCACAAAATCAGCTGTTCCCCAGGAGCAGGGGCAATAAAGCTACTTTGGTGCCTGCTCTTTGGTAGCGGCATGAAGATGCTGCGCTCAGTAGCTCTACCCCAGGCTCCAGGTGGCACACAGGCACCTCTGCAGCGGCATCAGTGCCTCCCCCACCTTCTTTTATGTTTCTAGCACAGCTCCAGGCTGCCGGCGTCCCCAGGGCGCAGGCAACGCTGCAGCCTCCGGGGAGGACACACAGCAGGAGAGCCGGGTTGCGTCAGTGGGGCAATACCTGACGCTGGGGAAGACCAGATCCCTGCCCATTCGGTGGAAAAAAGGCAACTTCTGTCCTAGGAAAACGGCAAGAAACACCTGGGAACCCTTTCCCCATCCAGGCACGCATGCAGCCGCATCCTCTTCCCGGGGCACGCCTGGGTGCCATGAGGACAGCGGTAGCGCCAGCCTTGTGCTCGGCCACCATCACCCCAGCTCCTTTCACCGCTGTCCCTCTCCTGCCTCCCTCCGGAGAGCGATGCACGCGCATCCGTCACACAGCATGTCTGGGCATGCACACACCGGGATGCTCGTCCGTGCCCGAGTCAGCACGTGTGGCCAGACTTGCAGCGCGCCCTGCCCGGCGCCACACGCAGCAGCCCTGGCCAGACACCCGCTGACTGCCTCCAGAGGACACTGCGCCCTTAACACCCAGCCCTAGGAGCGGCGGGGACAGGGATGCCCGGCGCCAGACGCCCACAGAGGCTTTATCTTTGCTACGGAGGGATGAGGCCCTGCAGGTGCTCAAGCAGGTGATGCAGGATGGACGTCAGGTGCAGGGAAGAGGCATTCGAGGCTGCTGCAGGGGGGGTTGACAAGTCGCTGCACCATCAGCTGGAACAGCGATTTCTGTCCAGCTGCTGAGGAGCCAGAGGCCAAGAGGCCACTGTGTGCTACAAGGCCCTGCTGCCAAATCTCCAAGGACTGCTCAGGCATCCTTCGCATCCACGCGTGCACCAAGCCAACCAAACCACTGTGCCTCTCTTGGGCAACATCTCCCAAAAAACGGATACTCAACCTCCTGTCTGACCTAATTCCTCTTTCAGTCTGGCCTTCATTACAATTTAATATGAACAGCGCAACGTAGGAGGGAGTTGACAGATGGCCCAGTCTGCAAATTTTGGATTTTTGGATAGCCCAGGCCAACTCTTGCTCTTTATGGGGTAGTGCAGAGCTTCAACAGCAGCAAGGCAAGAAGTTGTCAGTCTCCACCAAGTAGGAGGGAAAAGACAAGCAAAACTGTCAGTGCCTCAGCCCAGCCCGAGTGGCTGAAGCTTCAGCACTTCAGCAGCCACCTGCGAGCCACCTCTGACCATGCCAGGCACAAGTTTACCCCAGCACGTGGGTACCACAAGATGCTCGCAGGTGTTGGGCAGCCTACCAAGAAAACCCCAAAGATGCCAGGATTCTGGGCATGTGCTCACCTCTCATGTGCCATCGGTCCACACCTTGGACAGAGGTAGCAGGGCTCCAGCAGCGCCGCACCTCCATCAGAGTGTCACAGGGCTTGTGACCACTGAGCTGCCAGGCAACTAAGGTTGACCCAGAACCAGGGGATTCGGGACTGTTTATTTTGGGTTTTTGTTTTTTTCTGTTTGGCTTTAATAGCGAGGCTTCAAGAAAGAAATAAAAATCTCCCAGTTGCTGGCACCTGGCTCGCGTGACATTTATAGGGCTGAGGTTGGCAATACTGCTTCTATTTTCAGCACTCTGCTTTTTTGTCTTCCCCATTCGTCCCCCGCACACTGCTCAGCCCTGCCCTGGGATCGCCTTTCCCACCGGGAAGCAAGGCGCCCTCGCGCCACCAACTCTGCAGCATGGGCTACTGGAGCTGTGGAAAAATCAAGCTCCAAAAGGTGAATGGGGTATTCAGTACCATTTATTCGACCCGCTGGGGAGTGAGAGCGTATTGCACAAATTTTGGTATGCAGCCCAGAAACGTTTGATTTATGGCAGAAAAAAAAGGAAATGCAATCTTGCTTAACTCTTCTAAAGACAGCTGGCAAGAGCCAGGGAAGGGATTTAAGTCTGTTTTAGTAGCCTCACTTAACTCCTTTCTTTATTGTTCCTCTCCCCTCTCCACATCCACGTCCAAAACCTGGAGTGTATCAGGAAAAGTTAACAGCAAGTTAAGCTGTTAAATCAGAAATTGTGGTGACTGGAGTTTACTGGCAAGTGATATTCCCACAACACGCTGAACTTACTTTATGCCTTGGCAAAGCAGATTTAACCCTTGTGGAGCCAGGTTGCAGTCACCAGGCACGGTTCTCCCCGCCTTTCCGAGTCAGTGTCCGCGTGCCCGGGGAGGGAGGCATCGCTCTGCCTCGTTAGATGCAGAAGCAGCACAGGCAAACCTAGCACAGACCAGCGAGGTCAGGCCCAGGACACGAGCAAGGAGAGGGTGGGCCGCTCACGCCGCTAGCTAGTATGCAGCGCTGGAAACGCACCAGCCGCTCAGTCCCTCTAAAAATAAGACCTCACCTGCTGCGTTTGCTTTATTTAAGCAAGGAAAGAAAGGCAGAAAACTCTCTTTTTAGAGCTCCACTGCTGCAGCAGGGCTTCATTCAAAGCCTGCTGGAATCACAGGGCACCCACACCTCGGGGCAGCCTGCTCCCGCCGGCTGGGCTGCGGAAAGGATCACCTGCCAGGAAAAAAGCAGCGGGACACACACACATTTTGGCTCTCCAGTTTCATTCAGAGGTGGGAGGGGACCTGCGGTGTCAAATCTTTTATCCCTTAATGAATTTTCACAGGAGCAGGGATAGCCCCTTTGAAAGGCTGGGGGAGCTTGTGTGGGTGTCGACAGCGCCGAGCAAGATTTACAGCACTGACCCATTCACCCCCACCAAAATTGTCAAGTTGGGTCCAAAACAGTTCAGTGAAGCTCAAACCAGAAGTGTCAGTCAGTTTTATTTCTCCAGATGTCCTTAGCACAAAGTCACCCTTACAAAACCGACGACCCAGACTCCTCAACTCTGCTCTAAATCAAGCCAAGAGGAGGAGGGAAGAAAAACCACCAGCCCAACACACTGAGCGCTGCTTGATATAAGAAGAAAACCACGCGCACACACACACACCCGTGCAACCTGACAACAAATAAAAACAAAGAAAAGCAGGCCCTGGCCTCCCAGGCACATCCTGGCATTTGGGAAGAAAACTACGGACTTTGTCTAGGAAGTCGCAACACAAGGACTCAGCGCCGCGGTTCTCCCGAGGTGCCTGCTTAAAACCACCCACGCAACCCTGATTTTCACACTCGATTGCTCCACGCTGCCTGCGCGAGCCCCTAGCGTATCAGAAACCCTGCTAACATACCACTGGCTCAAGGCAAGGCAGCCACATCTGCTGGTACAGTTACGCTAAATCCGAGTTTCCTCATGCACCCCAATTCCCTCCTGCTCAGGCAAGGGCTAAAACCTTTCCAAGTTGCGCTCTTAAAACAATTACTGCAGGGAACAGCAGTAGGGAAGGAAGGGGAAAAAACGGGGAATCGCACGAAGTCTAAAGCTCCACGCCAACCATTAACTCTCGCTTCGTGTTGGCCTCACCTTCCTTGTTTTCCCTCCCCGAATTCCCGATCCCCGCGCGGCTCCGCGCCCCGTCCCTCGCACCC